CCTTTTACTATTTAAGTAATTTAACAACCATTTCTCAGAACTATTTAATCTACCCATTTTTGTTTTCTTTATTGTGTTTTTATGTTAACCACCCTGTAAGGGTATACCAGTCATTATACTTATGTTTTACTTAAAGTATAGGGTAAAATACAAAACCTCCCTTGAGTTTTCTAGCAATCATATAAATCTCCCCTATGTTTTGATATGAATAGAATCCTCCCCTATAGTTTTGAAAAATGATGCATATACCTCCCTAACTCTTATTAGTTTTTTCTGGCCGAAAACCCTAACATAATACATTAATTGTCTTAAAGTACTAGATTTACCCTTGAAGTGGTAACCGAAGCAAACCACTCTCCTATCCCTATTTTTTCCACTTCTCTGTCTCAATTGAGCTAACCAATCATCACTCAATTTCTCTCCTTTTGTTCTGTTTTATTTATTTTTCACATTTTCTTAATTTCCCATCTCTTTTWTTCTTCTTTCTCTCTCTTTCTTCTTCATTTTCTTTCTTTCTTACTTTTTTCTTTTCATTTTCTAGTTTCCTTTTAGGTGATAAGCAAGTGGGAACCACAGTCTAGAGATTTCATAAGATTGTTAGAAAACTCGGGGGGTTATATTTTACCCTAAAGTATAAATAACAATGAGAGAGGCAACCAAATTAGCTTTTGCGGAACGAAGAAGAGAGAAAAAAGAAGGAAGAGAAAGTAGTGGTTAGACCCCTGGAGGGGCTGCCTATATATCCTCCGGTGAGGGATTGGGCCAATGTAATTCACAAGAGTTGGAATTCTAGTGATAAGAGAGAAAACAGTACGTGATTGCATAGAAGATGGAAAAATACCCATATGGATGAAGAAGAAAGAGAGAAAATGGGTTAAAATCAAGATGATGGAGCAAGAGTGCTTCCAAGGTCCCAAGATGGGCATGAGGGCCCCTATTTATAGATTTTAGGTGAGCTAACTTTTCATCATTTTAGAATTTTCTTGTTAATTGTTATCTCCAATTTCACCCTTTTGTTTTAGTCATTTAAATCACATGTTTATTTTCGTCCTTGAATGTGCTTAGTGGATTCATTTTCTTTTCTAGAATGTTCACTTATTATGCTCATGTTTAATCTTATTCAAGGACATGCTTAATTGGATTCACGTTTGGTTTCTAGGATATTCATCCCTTAGTGGTGCACATTAATTTTGTTATTGTGCGAAAATGATTAACACTTAAATTTAATTAACACTTAAATTCAATCCCTGGGTTGGTCGAATTGTGTACTTATGTAAGGCCACCCTCATACATTGTGTTGTCGGTTATTTAGAAGACTGGTAGCCCAAGTTTTTGTCTTTTCCTATTTGGTTGGAAGAAGATCTAGACACCAAACCTTGCCTCAAAAAGATGTGGGAAACCTATTTTAGATTATTTTTGGGAAGCTCCAAATGAAGCTTTTCGCCTTTTTTCAATTCATATTCTCATGGAAAGACATGTGGAAAGATGTGCCTTAACCAAATAGTATTCAAGCTTCTAAGATGTAAATGCAAAAACTCACATTGTCTTTTGTTTTCCAGATCTACCAGAAGATCTTTTGAAAAAGGCCTGCCAAATGACATCTATATATTTCTAAGTAATCGACTACACTATAGAACTTGGACAATCTTTCCTAACAAATTACCCTACACTTAAAAACCTTGGAAAATTTATCCTAAGGTTTGGAATCTCTTCCATTGGATTTCAAAATATATTTTTAAGATTATAATCACTTATTGAAGTCTAGGAAAGCCTAGCAACCAAAACTATTCTATCCATTGGTCTCTAAGGTTGCCTTTCTCCTTGAAGAGTTATTCTAGAAGATAGCCATTTGAATAAATCCAAATCTTCTAGTTCTTTTAGTAGCCTTGTCATGTTTAAATGTTGTTGGATCATCATCACTAGAGAAAGTTGATGGTGGTGATGAGACCATGAAGCTTAGGCAATTGATTAGGTAGAAGTTCCACTTCATCTTTAGTGGATTTCTTACATTTACATGATTGAGGCTCAAAGAAGATTACTTAAAATGGCTGCATACTTAGCCACATCATTAATACTTTCAATGAACTTGTTATTATCAAAACACGTAAGGCCAAGATCACATCATTAGTACTCTCAGCCAGTTCATCTTCTTCATTAACTATTCATGGATAGACACTAAGAATCTAACGCATCCCTCAATCTAAGAGAAATGTTTCTCATAGTTAGGATCCATATATGTCTTTAATACTAATTTGTCATGAGCCAAAGCTAGTCTTTACCGCTAGTGAAGGAGAAGTATTCTTCTTCCCTATTTTTCTTTTTCAGAAAGGATAATTGATTAGTTTGACGAAACCCACCCTCCAATTCAAGTGTTTTTGGAACTTGAAAGATCGTTGATCAGTTCAACTACTTCAGAGAAGAACATAAAGTGATTACTAAGTACTTCGAGAAAAATAATGAGAAAAACCAACGAAAATTCAACTAGTGTAGAATCCTTTCCTTATTCTCAGAAACTAGAGCTATTCTCTAGGAAATTTACGTAAAACACTCTAACATCAAACCAAAGTAAGAGAAGAAGTCCTCTGAAGTCCAACTATGCCCATGAATGCACCAGGCTGATGTGAAAATCAGTTGGAGTGAACCGGTTAATCCATTGGGCTCGTGACAATATTTATAAAATTTTAAACATAATGACACATTTTGAACTATATATTATATTATCATCATTGAAACTGAAGTCTAAAAGCTTTTATGATTTTTTTTATAATAATAATAATAATAATTACTATTATTATTATCTGTTGGAGTAAACCGGTTAATCCATTGGGTTCGTGACAATAATATTTATCAAATTTTAATCATAATGATACATTTTGAACTATAAATTATATTATCATCATTGAAATTGAAGTCTAAACGTTTTTAAATAATTATTATTATTATTTTTATTATTATTATTATTATAAGGAACATTTCCCATGGGTAGAACTGGAACCAACCTCGAAATTACCAAGGCCAGAAAACAACCTTGGGACAGATATTGACAGATAAGTTCTGGTTCCAAAAATGGGTCCAAGTTGCCTTAGAATTGAACTGAATCAACCCATGCTCTCCTTCAATTAGCTGATGACTGAATTGAAATATCATCAAATTCAATAACCAATATGAAAATGTGGTCTAAACAAGTGAGTTAAATTTCTATTAAAAAAGTGAGTTACATTTCGACTTTATTTTCAATTTATGATACATATAATGCTTAAGGTAATATTTTATCTTGTTAATATATTTACCAGATGTAAATGAGTGCGAGGAATCAGGGAAGACTATTTGTGAAGTTATCTGTACTAACACAAATGGATCTTATTATTGCTCTTGTCCGAAGGATAGTTATGGAGATGGCAGAAAAGATGGAAATGGTTGCACTAAAAAGAACAAGGCCTTTCAATTAATTAAGGTCACTCTAGGTAAATCTCCTTATTGAGTTTCAAATCATATTTAATTTAATTTCCATCCTGTTATTTTATACATGTGCCATGAATTTTGTTGTTTTTTGTACTTTGCATCAAGGTTAGAGGCGGCATATAAACCAAACAAAGAATGATTTAGCTGTTTGTGTTTGCATCAATACAACAATAAACAGCTTGATATAGTTGCAGGTTTCACATCAGTCTACCCTGTCCTTCATTAGGCACTAGGCAAAATACTCAGATTTTTATTAGCCATGAAGCCCTTATGTTATGCGTTAGAATACAGATAAATCGTACGTGTCCCACTTTACTAACAAGGTGCAGCATTTAATATATCTATACTGGTATTTTGTTATTAATAAATTAAGAATAATGAGTTAGGGATAGTTGGGAAAGAGATAAGAAAAACAAATTGGCATCTATTTTGTTTGTATTCGATGTAATATGTCATTAAAAAATGTAATACTGTGGCATTAGCTACCAAAAAATTATACGAGTTCATGCAAAGGACAAAAAAGAAAAAAGATAAGTAAGGAATTAATTATGGACATCCACAAAGCAGAATCTCTGGCTTATATATCAGTCATGCTAGGAATTTCTATTATTATACTCAAAAGACCAAATTCTTTCTGACATATAATATAATAATGATTATTCTATATATGCATACTTTTTTCCTACTTTTATAACATTTCTTCCAAGTAATATCTTGATATACCCCATGCAGGTGTAGGCCTTGGGATTTTACTTTTACTCATCAGCATTTCATGGCTACACTTTATCATAACCCAAAGAAGACTCGTGAAGTTAAGAGAGAAGTTCTTTGAGAAAAATGGTGGTTTGCTTTTACGGCAACAATTATCTTCACATGAAGTTGGTTATGAGGCTCTAAAGATCTTTACAGCTCCAGAACTAGAGTTTGCAACAAAGAATTATGATGAAAATTGCATCCTTGGTCGAGGTGGTCAAGGTATAGTATATAAAGGCATTCTACCTGATCATCGAATAGTTGCCATTAAGAAATCAAAAATAGGGGATAAGAGCCAAATTGAGCAATTTATTAACGAGGTTGTTATTCTTAGCCAAGTTAACCATCGAAACGTTGTGAAGCTCTTGGGATGTTGTCTAGAGACTGAAGTTCCTTTGTTAGTGTATGAATATGTCTCAAATGGAACCCTTTACCAGCATATCAATAAAAAGAACTACAGCTCCTTGCTTTCTTGGGAAGATCGCGTTAGGATCGTCACGCAGACTGCTAGTGCAGTTGCCTATCTACACTCTGCAGCTTCTACACCGATTGTTCACAGAGATCTCAAATCAGCAAATATACTATTAGATGGTAATTATACAGCAAAAGTCTCTGACTTTGGAACTTCCCGATTACTTCCTGTTGATCAAACTCAAGTCACTACACTGGTTCAAGGGACCTTAGGGTATTTGGACCCAGAGTATTTCCACACCAGTAAACTAACAGAGAAAAGTGATGTTTACAGCTTTGGAGTAGTCCTCGCAGAGATCTTAACAGGGGAAAGGCCAGTTTCTTTTGAAAAAGTAGAGGAACAAAGAAACCTAGCTACATATTTTATTTCCTTGATGGAAGACAATCAACTCTTCCAAATCATTGATAATCGAGTTGTGAATGATGAAATTATTGAACAACTTGTGGCGGTTGCAGAACTTGCAAAGAGATGCCTTAATGTAAAGGGTGAAGAAAGGCCCACTATGAAAGAAGTGGCGGAGGAGCTAGGAGGATTAAGAGGGTTAAGGAAACACTCAGGGGTTCAAACAAAACAAGAAGCGAGTTCAAATTCACTTTGTGAATCATCAGATTTCTATCTTATAGAAACAAACCAATCCCTTGGTGATGCATCTGGGCAATATAGTTTGCAGAATGATATGATTTTGTCAACGAATTTTCCTCGGTGAAATGGTTTGTCAAATCAATCATGTTGTTCTATATATGTTAATGCTTCATTTCTTCATGCTTTTTTTTATGTTTATGACTTTTAAATAGTACGTTATGTATTCAAGTAGAGAACAATCTCTTTTATCACATGTTGAAACATTTATTATATCTTTTTATTAACAGAGACAATTGATTTATCATAAGCATGATTATTCAATTTATCATAGCCAGCTACAACGGCCATTTCAAATATAGCAAGAAAATTACAAGAACTAAATAAAAATAGCGTGCTTGGGCACATCCGGTTTTTAAAGACTAGAATGTACATAACGAATGGTCAATGGGATGTAACTAAATTGTTACACAATATTACAATAGGAACTAATTTTTATAATGAATAGATTTCGTGCATTAGAAGGGACATTTTATAAGCAAAAGAAGCAGTTTGTCTATATTGCCCATATAAGCTATTTATGATATCTATTTTATTTGGAATATTCTTAAATTCATTCAAATTTGTTGAAAGGGTGTGATGCCCAAGTTGTGAAATACGCAAGGTGAGATTGAGAGAAAATATTAAGTGAAACAAAGGCAAGAAACCCTAAACAAGCTAAAAGAAGCACATACAATTCCTAATGTGAAAAACCCTTCAGAAAGATAGGTAAAAACCACAAGACATTGGTCCAAGAAAACTTTCCACTATGGGGGCCTTCTTTTTTTGGATTAATTTTGAGAGGGGGGAAAGTTAGATAATAGGATTTTGATTCCCATTGACCAAGAAACACATGTTCATTTTTCAGATTTATGTGGGGACCAATGAAAGTTTATTTTTCTAGGTATCTCATAGGTGGGTAAATTAACTTTCTCATTTAAGGGAAAGTTGCCAATACTTGGATGGGACAAAAAAAATGTGCCGTTTAATAATAGAATTTTTATGGTTAAGATGGTGATTGCCTTATTTACATGGGAAATAAAAGAATATGAGTAAATGTAATTATTTTGGTAAGTGTTCCCCAGGAAAGACTTACCCGGGTAAGTGGTTTACCGAAAAGCGAACGGGGCATATGTTTCAAAGGTGGGATTACAACAAGAAGATATAGTGTCTTCTCCTCTCTATAGCAAAACATTGAGGATAACCTTCACATAGCAATTTACACGGATTACACACTCGAGAGAGTTTCTAACAGTTCATATACCCTTTTTTTACTACACTCTCAAAAACAAATAAATAGATGAAGATGATTGTCCATCTCCCAATTCTTCAACCAATGAAGATACACAAGCAAGAAATTAATTAATGGCATTATCACTAAGTCACGAGGTCTTCCAAATGCCAAAGGTCATGAGTGTGTTGGGAAGTGTGTGCATGGAAAACCACCTTCTACAAATATTTGGGATTTCTTAATTTGAACTATTGATCTAAAGTGGGCGGTGGTTTTGATGTTCTAGAATCACATCATGCACTAAATGTTAGAATAAGAGGCACTTAGAATGCCTCTATAAAGAATAAGAGGCACTTAGGTGATTGCCTCTAAAAGCATAGCGTCTAAATGTTATAGAGGTACTTGACTAATAATTAGAGACACATCTGATAAGTGCCTCCAAAAATAAGATATTGAATCACATAATCATGTCTCTAAAAAATTATTGCCAAAATCATTATATAGAGGCATGTATAAATGCCACCGAATGTATATTTTTAGAGGTATTTTAATTAAATTTATTGAGGCAAATTTATTTGCCTCTAAAAATAATTTCAAGAATCTTAGTTATGCTTTTAGTAGCACTTGCGACCGTCTCTAAAGATCATTTACTTGTATTTTAAAAAACTATTTTATCATATGTAAAGCTTATGTAGATCTATATAAAAACATTTAAATTTTTATTTAAACAATTCATTGACATATCTATTGAAAGATATTGATTGTTTATAAATATTATTTCATATTATTTGATACAAATTAAAAAATATAACAATCCATTTATAAAAACACATGGAATAAAGAATACAAAAAGCAATTCACTTCCTACTCTAAGAAAAGAAGAGAAGTAGTTAAACTCGACACCATCTACATTTTTTTTTTCTTCTACAACCTGCAAGAAAAAAAATAATATAACAAAAAGCAAAAAAATCATCACATTAATAACTATAATTTTTCAAAAACAAAAAATCTTTAACCATCTAATTATATGTTGCATGATTCTTACCTTAGCAACAGAATTTGGTTTTGGATGGTTGATCCTCAAGGTCAAGTAACAGAATACCAGTTGTGGAGGGCACTAAATGCATGAATGCTCAAAGAATTCCAAAACCATGATGTGTTCCTTAATGCACTCTATCAGCCAAGCTGATTTGAACAAGTATGGGAGTTTCTTGGTAATTGATAAATAATGAAACTCCAGTATTAACAGCCTTAATAGACTGATTATCACTATAGGAAAAATCAGCTTTAGCAATGAACAAAACCGTTGCAAAAAGATACAAAAAACTGTTGCTAAAGGCTATAGCAACGATTTAGCCACGTTTTTTTGTCGGTGGCGGATATTGGCGTGGCTAAAACCTATAGCCATGGATATTGTACATCGTGGCTATAAATGTACGTATAGCCATGATTTTAACCGTTGCTAATTAAAAATTTTATTGCAATAGATTTATTTTATACCATTGCTACAAATTGCTATAGCAACGGTTTTAGTCGTGGCTATAGAATATGGTTTATTGATGAATAAGTAGAAATAGCAACGGTTTTAAGTAAAACTATCGCTACAAGTATTAGCTATTCTTTTGTATTGCCACAGTTTTTTGCATTAATGGTTGCTATAAAATTCTTATAGCAATGGTCATGGTCAAAAACCGATGTCGTAGAATGGTCGTTACAAAATATAACCATTCTAAAATTGTTGCTGTATGGCACTTTTAGCAACGGTGTGATAAAACCGTTGCTACAAGTTTATTTCTCATTTAAATTTTAAAGGAATGCCATTACAAAAATAATTAATTTCACCTGTTCTTTTATGATAAAACCTGTACAAATTTATACAAAATATCTATAGTAGTATTTGTTCAATATACACATTTAATAAATTTTTTTCATCACCAAAAAAGAAAACATAATTAACGAAATTATCCTCATTGCATCTAAACATTAGCTTATATGCACGTGCATTATACTCAAGACCTTCAATTTGGATCATAATTTCGGTCTGTCAAGTTCAAAATTGAATACATAAGCATTGATATAAATAATTAGCTATATAAATTAAATAATGTAAGAGGTTTATATGCATTTACACTTACCATTGATTTAACCCATGCAGTGTGAGATCCAAGTGCATCCAAGAATTACCCTAGAAAAAAATCCAAGGGAATCAAAATCAAGATGGGCAACAAAGAAAGCAATTCAGGTTGGAGAAGACCCCCTACACTTGCTATAAAATCTTAACATTCTTCACCTTCTCAAGGGAGCTTGCTAACCTCAAATAAACCCCCTTTAGAGGTTCACATGATAACAAGTGTCTTATCATCCCTTCCAAATTTATTATTTATCACTACTTCAAATCCCTTTTCAGATGCAAAGCAACTAGAAAAGAAGATGAGAACCTTCCTATGGGCTGGTTGGAACGATGATAACATGTTTCCAAACCTTCCAACATTATATGCATGCATCAGGGTGTGCCTATCCTACTTTCAAGCTATGCTCTGTTGCATCATATTTTCCTACCCTCTTGTACAGATTGTGGTAAGCATGACCTTAACATGAATAAGGAAATGGAGAAAGATGTTGTAGTGTTATTGACAGATGAACTAAATCCACCGAGACATGTAACCAATCACATGATGGACACAATAGACGCAAAGAAATTATCTTATTATTACCAAAAAGAAGCAGAAAAATACAATTCAGGATTGGAAGTGTGTATAGAAGCAAGAGAAAAGGTTGGAAATTATCCATAAAATGATTATTCTTCCTCATGCAAAATTTACACTACATGACCATTGGAAAATTATCAGATTGATAAAGAAACATAGACATATCCAGTTTCAATGGATAGTGCAACAGATTGGTTCACGATCTCTGCTGATTCAGAAAACAAGTTTTTTTTAAACATCAATATGAAAACCATGAAAGAGCATTTTAATATTAACAAGTATCAAAATTATATAGCAATAGCAAAGAATTTTGGGTTAGGTAAGGGGTAGGTTATTCTAAATTAGGCTAATAACTATAAAATCTGAACCCTTCTACAAAGGATCTAAGAATTGTCATCTCTTTAAAGGTAAGGGGAAAGTTATTCTTTTCTATTCACTACTTTAACAGGTAAGCACACAGTACAGTGCAAGATCAACAGATTTAAGCCAAAAGTTTGACACATATGACCAATAAGGGTGTTACTGTTTGAGATTGTTTTGATTTTCAGAGGCAGACATCTCCCGGTGTCCTCAGTTCAGGTGCAACCTGAACAATTGGGAGGTGGATGCCTATTCACAATTGTTGAGACTCCTAAGTGGGGTTCATGTCCAACCTTCTATGCCTGATCATAGAACATGGATTGGTATCAGATCTGGTTAACATCTACTCAAGTGTTAGTTTCCTCTTTTGATTTTTTAGACAAGAACCAATAGAAACCAAATTCAGGATTGAACTTGCTTCTAGATGGGCCATGTCCCATTCATTATTCATACATGCCTTGGGTCCACCATTTCTCATTGGTAACACAATGGCTATCTTATCTACAAATCTTCAACTTTTGACCATATTTTCTCAAAGCAAACCATATTTTTTTCTCAAATCACAATGTTAATTTTTTTTATATTCTGCATGTATATATGCTGGATATGCAGGTATGTATATTAGATGGTGATGACTCATGCCATACATGTATTTCTCAGAGGACCTAGCACTTGCCATCTTACCAACTCACCTTCCAATGCACACCCAAATCAGCAAAATCAGCCCATAACATCACATTAGATCCACCTTGTTTCTATGCAAAAAGACCTATTTGTAGTCGGTG